CTCACAGACGATAGGAGACCGTTCAAATATCCATTTACACCAGTCGAGACGGATTGCTAGAAGCTGAAACATTTAACATTCTCGCCAAAGCCCTTATCTCTAATCCTTATCACTTATCCTTATCACCTCCTCAAACTTTCGACTTAAACTTTTATTATTATTGCGACACTGACTCCAAAATCGGTACCCACTTTCAGCGACTCAACGGGCCCCCAAGTTTCACTTACAGCTAGTCTTATACTATAAAACGTACTAATTTCGCATCTACTTAAGGGAGAACCAATGAAAACGCTCCGTTTCCCCGCCGAGCGTAATCGCCGTTTCTTATCACCGTCACTACTATCACTACTACTATATTTGAGATTTTATTTGAGATTCTTCGAGTTTTACCCCCCTCGGGGGCCTCGGGTCGCCCCGTTTGCGTCTTATTCGCGTTCCCCGGTAGATTTATAGCCGGCGCGCTATCCTACTTTTTCAAAAACCGAGTCCCCCGTCCGACGAGGCCGTCTCCGATGCCGCGGCGGCGTCGTCCCGATTTCCACGGTTTTTGCGACTTTTTCCCGCACAGAGTCGCGTTTTGGACTTTTCACCTCCCCGCCGAATACGTATTCGCGTTCCCCGCTAAATTTATAGTCGTTTCAAAAACGAGTCCCGGGGACGAGCGGCGACGCGGAAACGAGAGTTATAGGTATCGCTATATACTGGCATAAATACTTTTTTAGTTCAATTTTTTTCGCTAATCTCACCGATTTGAACGTCCGAAGCCGGTCGAGACGGTCGTCCGCTTCCCCACGCGGTCGATCCCCCCCCTCTGACGCCCTTCGGGGGACGCAGACGCCGTTTCGGGTGGACGGCGACGCGGCTTAACAGTCGTAGATTTGACGGAGCCCAGCGTAGTTTGGAGTCTAGTGTTAGTCCTAAATACTTTATGTTCTGGACAATTGGTATTGGAAAATCGTTTATAGTGATATCTGAAGCGAGAAGGTAACGTCTTCTGGTGAAAATCATGGCCTTACATTTTTCGGGAGCTACAGAGAAAAAGGAAGAAGATAGGAGGTTTTGTAGAAGATTGAGCGAATTGTTTAAAGAGTCGATAGCGAGATCGATATTTGAATTGTAGGAGAATATGACTAGATCATCAGCATACACTAGACACTCATGTCCAAGTGTATTTAGTTGTTTAATAATGAAATTCATATACAAATTGAAAAGAATGGGACTTAGGCAGCTACCTTGGGGCAGACCTGTGTAAGTGGAGCGTATATTTGTAGAGCCGTAAGGGGATGTGAATTTTAGAGTTCTATGTGAAAACAAGAGGGAGATAAGGTTAATGAATATAGGGGGTAGTTGGAGTAAATTAAGATGAGATAGGAGAGTTGGTATATGGACAGAGTCAAAGGCACCACGAATGTCGATAAAGGCTGCAGGTAAGAAATGTTTGTTGTTAAAAGATTGGTATATTTTACTCGAAAAATTTGCGAGGCAATCAAGTGTGCCTCTTCCTTTTCTGAAAGCATATAGGTTGTCGGAGAGAATAGAGTTATGTTCAAGCCACCAATCTAGGCGGTTTTTTAGGATAAATTCCATGGTTTTGCAAAACGCTGAGGACAGGGCGATGGGCCTAAATGCAGTGGTAGAGTTGACTTTGGGAATAGGTATGACTATGAACTCTTTCCAGGAGTCAGGAATTTTATTGAGGAGGAGAATTTTGTTGAGTATATTCAAGAGATACTCGACGGCATTAGTAGGAAGGTGTTTGAGCATAACAGGGGAGATGTTATCAGGGCCGGAGGCGATTGATTTGCGTGAGGCGATGGCGGCGTTTAGCTCACTTAAGGTTATAGGCATGGAGATTATGTGATTAGTAGGTGAATTTGAGGCAGGCGAAATTGAATTATGTAAGGCTTCAGAAGATGAAGGGACATAACATGGTGCTACTTTACAACAGAAATCATTGAACCAACTGTCATTGTGAGGACGAGACCGAGTTACAATACTATTGCGAAAGCGTTTAGCGGTGGTCCAGGTAGATTGAATGGATGAAGAAGGGTTGAGGTTCATACAAACTTGTTTCCAAGCTAGTCTTTTAGATTCTTTTAAGAGACGTGTGGTTGCAGCGCTGGCATTGCGATAATTAAGATAATCTTGAACGGAGCCTGATCGAATGAAGGTTCTGTATAAGGATTTGCGGTTGGAAACTGCTTCGGAACAGGAGGAGTTCCACCACGGGGGAGAGGGTGGGAAGTTGTTAAGGTTATTATGTTTGATAGGAATTGTTTTCTTAGAAATATCTAAGATCATATGAGTGAACTGTTCATAATCTTTTATTGGACATGTGTAAGTGTTGAGAAGAGGGATAGAGGAATTGATGAGTTGAGAAAAAAGGGGCCAGTCAGCTTTATTGAGGTTAAATTTGAGATTGGGGGAGAGATAATTGGGTAGGGTAGATCTGTTATTTGGTAAGGAGTTAGGGTTTTTTTTTTTTTTTTTTTTTTATTGATCTTAAGCTTCGGCAACTGAGGCCATTAGCTGTAGGTTGTGGTACTGTAGGGTTTTTTTTTTTTTTTTTTGGGACTGTTGGGTTACTGTAGGGTTATGGAACACGTGTGTGTTTGTTTGGCAGAATTTCTAGTGGGCACCCGTAGGTTTCTGCCATACCCGGTTGGGGGATGGCGGCCTCTCTCTCCAGACACCGTGACTGCCCGGAGAGAAGTGCCACCCGTGACCGAGATTCGAACCGGCGACGGTGCGCGTTGCGACCGACGCGTTATCCACTCGGCCACTCCGTCCCCCGAGTTAGGGTTTGTAACATTGACAGATATGATAATAGGTAAATGATCACTTCCATTAGGATCGTCTATAATGCGCCAGGTTGAAAGCCAGAATAAATTTGGAGTAGATAAGGATAAATCAATAACGAATTGGTTGAGTTGGGTCTGCCTACATGCGTAGGTGAGCCGTTATTAAGTATATTAAGATTAGAAGAGTTCAACGCATCGTAGATTAAGTTACCCCGTCTGGTGGACATAGTGGGACCCCAGGCAGGGTGATTGGCATTGAAGTCGCCTGTAAAGAAAAAGTTGTGATCGGTGAGTTGGAAGAGAGAGTACCATACTTCAAAGGGGATAGGTGAATCATTAGGACTGTAGCAGGACCAGAATGATGTATTAGGTAAACCGTCAATATTTGTTATTTTTAGACCAATTAAATCGATATTATTTTCAAAGAGAAGTTGTTTTATAGGGGGTTTAATTTCTATTGAAGAGACATTAAGTGAGGTATGGGCGGCAATTGCGACGCCCCCGTAGCCATCAACTCAATCTTGTCTAAATAAATTAAAGTGAGGAATAAAGCAATTACGGGATGGAAGTAACCAAGTCTCAGAAATAAGTATTATGGAACAATTGTAGGAAGATGCGAGGTGTTGGATAGAAGGGAGTCTTGCAGGAAGACTACGAACATTCCATTGTAGAATATTGACCATTAGAAGAAATAGCGGAGATGTTTGGAATCGAGAGACAAGACATAAGGGATGATTCAATTAAGTTTTGAAGGGAAGAGGGGGATAAGGGAGAGAGGCTAGGGGAGTTGGATAAGGATTCGGAAAGTTTGATGCAGAAGGCATTGACCCAAGTTAGATCAGCTTGAGAAGGTTTGGGATCCTGGGACCGATTTTTACTAGCATAATCTATGAAATGCCCATTTGGTAGGGACAAATTAGATTGGTTGGGAGCATAAAATTGTTTTTGTTTAGAGCAAGAAGAATGATTGTTATACTACCTATGTGGTATATGGTGGTAATGTGATTGAGAGGCTAACGGGGGAAAAGAGTTAGTGGAGGTATCCGGAACTTGATGAGAAGGATTTAACCAAAGGTGGGCATTAACTAGTTAAAAAGTTAAAGTTAAGTTAAAAAGTTAATTTTTTTTTTAACTTTTTAACTTAACTAGTTAGTTTGTTTTCTAATTAACTTATGAACTGAACTAGTTTAATTTACAGTTGAAATAACTTAGCTATTCTCAGTTGGTTTAAAAAAAAATCAATAAGTTAAAAACATTTTGAAATTTTTTGTTTATACGTAAATATTACTATATAAAATTAAAATAATCCAATACTATAATAACACAAACATTTCTGTACTTTTTCTTGGTAACATAATTTTGTGTATATTAATATATTTTATTTATTAGAAAGTCAATAAGCTATTATCATTTTATAGTATTAGATGTTTTCAGTACAAATAAGTAATAACAATAATTTATTATCGATAAGAGAAATACTGCTGACCACCAGATTCTGAAAATTGGAAAGAAAATTCTAAAAATAACTTGAAAACTAAATTATCGTTTAAAGTAAATAGGTATAGAGTATTGATTTTATAGTTGTGTATAATATATACATGATAATTGATAATATTATGCTGGTCTATATTTGAAGACTATAATACAATACAATATTATGAATTATAGTGCGCTTGCATCGGCCAGTCCCTTACGTTGTTCGTAATCGTACATATAAATTAGAAACTAGAAAGACACATCCACTCTTTATGTGATTTACTTTAAAAAAATAGATTAACTTTTTTTAAACTGAGTTAAGTTATTTTTTTTTTCTATATTAACTTTTAACTTATCGAGTTAAGTTTATAATTTGTTAACTGTTAACTTTTAACTTATCGATCTTGTGTCCTCTGAACTTAACTTAACTTGAGTTAATTATTTTCATTAACTTGCCCACCTTTGGATTTAACACAGACTGTTTATTAACAATATTTGAATAGCTAAATGCACTTGAGGAGTAATTATTTTTCTTGAGAGAGACTGCTTCGCGGAAGGGTAAGTTTTCTGTAGCCATAATTTTCTTAACATCCCTTTGGAATGACCACTCTTGGCAATTCCGGTCAGTGGAGAGGTGGGGTAGTTTACAGAAGATGCAAACTGGATCTGTTGCGTTGATTGAAGGGCAAGTAGTTAATGAATGGTCATTTAAGCCACAGTGGCTGCATTTGGATTTACTGTGACAAAATTTAGCCGTGTGGCCAAATCGCAAACAGTTATTGCACTGTATGGGAGAACGGACGCTGGGAGAAATTTTGAAAATGACGTTGTAAATCGATACAGCATCTGGGATTTTGGGGGATAAAAATTTTATTTCCACGACACGAGTAGGAGTTAGGACATTATCCTTTTTGATTGAAATGCGTTTGAAAGCAATAGCGCGGACTGTGTTATAAAGTCCTTCCCAGAAATCTTCTTCGGTTAGGGAACTATCGACTCTGATAATTCCGAAAGAGTAGATAAGCGTGGATGGAATGTATGCTGTAAATCCAATGTTTGCGAGTAGAGGGGAGGTGAGAAAGTTGTTGGCTGACACTTTAGTATTGAAGGTGATTTTGATTTTTTATGACCAATTGGTTTGATGTTGTTGATGCCAGTGAAGTTGGTGGAAAAAATTTTTGTATATTTTAACGGGTGCCAGTGATCAATTTTTAGGTTGATATCTGAATGTTCCGCAATGGTAGTGAACGGACCATTATAATCCGCGGAGAAAAATGTATTAAGTTGTTCGGAATTACGTAAGGACTGTATATCGTTGGAATCGTAATTTATATTAGTGTTTGAAATATCAGCGGTGTAGGTTGTATGTGTGGAAACGGGAACATTAGCGTGATTGTTGTAGAAGGCGATAAAGCTATATCTATATTCATATTATTATCACAGAACAAACAGAACGGAATCTTATTTCATTTAACATGGGCTCTTATGGGAGATGATAAAACTACGTCCGACATTTCTAGATTTTAAACGTGCTGCCACGTACCGGGAATTTCTCTCTTTTTCTTTATATCGTGCAACACTGTTCGTTCAAATTTTTAATATATTATTATATTCAAATAATCAAACCACGATTATTATAGATAGTACTATCTATAATCGTGAATCAAATCGATTTATAATCTATGTTATCTATGGTTGGACATGTGTTGTTGTTGTTATGAGTGGAATTGCCGACTAACAGCGTAGCCACAAACCACAGAAAACTTAAAAAAAAGGGAATTTCTCGGTATGTGGCAGCACGTTTAAAATTCAGAAATGTCGGACAGTTTTTCGATGAGCCTTAAGATTCCCTTCTGTTTGTTCTGTGTTATTATAGGCCGTGTCATTAGTAGAATGAGACAACGAAATGTTGTAATCGAATGTATTGTTGGGCATATTTAATACTGGTGGATTATTTTTAATCTGCTGTAGAGTGGGAGATATAGGGCTAGTTGGAGTTGATACCTTCTTAGCTTGAGATGTTTTTTTACTTGTCTTAGTGGTCCATTCCTGATCCATGTTGTGTGATCTGGAAGCATTTGATGCTTTTTTTATTTTACCGACTGAATTGTTAGGAGCGTGCGGACGATTGTCGTCGCCGCCCGAAGACGACGCCGGCATTATACAAAAGTCGATAGCAAAACGTAGATACGGAGCGACAATTAACGAACGACTTGCTTCGATGGTTGACTTATCGCGACTGAACTAAACATGAATTAATATCGATATTAACATGTTTAAATTGCTATGATGTTAGAACCAATAAAACGCCCAACTATATATTACCTCTAGCAGTTATTGAGAATAAAGTTACAAAGCAAAGAAACAATACTTGAAATTAATTGTAGTAATTGTAGGATCACAGGAAACCATTCGAAAGTATTGAACGTATCTAGTACAAGACAATATTTGTGTATACAATAACAGGAAATTGTTTACTTCATACGATACCATATAAGAACCGTGGCGCTGGATGAATAATTAGACAATAAGACATTTATAAATTAAAAATATTACAGTGAACATTTCTATACTAATCAAAATAATACTCTACAACCAATAATAACACTTTATACTCTATATTAATACTAATATTTCCTCGCCAAGTAAATAAATTATCGAAACAGACTAAATATACTTAAATTCAGTTTACTTAGCATTTATTTATGATATCACATCTTTATAGAGCTTTGAAATTACTGGTTTTATAAATTCAACATGAAGCAAAAAATGTTTTGGTTATACAATGATTTTTTTTTTTGATTTTTTTTCTTCTTTTTTTTACTTAGCTAATTTTTACACGGAGTTAGACGGAGGGTTTTTGTTTTGATGATAATAATCTGTGATATTATTGCTCATGTACTTGGTGCTTATTTACGCAGTAGGTCGGTACATAATTTAATTTATAAAAATACTTAAATTATTGTACGTGCAATTAATGTAAAAAATTTTAAACATGAAACATTGTTTACAGCCCTGCTGGTATTACTATTTCAGTTTTAAATGCTCTTAATAATCTACACCAGCATATTATACCAAAATTATATATTAATTATTATGATTATTATTATAGAAGTTGAAACACAGATCTTGAGACAACTTATTACTTCAAACGCCAGATGTAAAGAACAAAGCGACCTTCACACAATTGTGATGGTTGTAAACAACATTTAGGAAAAACAGGACAAACAAACTTCATTTATTACAATTACAGTATCATCAATTTCTAACGATGAGTTTGAAAATATATGTGCGATGCTTCCAATATCCAATGAGTTATCACTAACCAATTTTAAAGAGACTTTGACTAACGATAAAACATTATATGATAAAATGATAATTTATTATAGGCAAATTATAATATTAATTTAAATAACTGTGTATAAACTATGAACATTTATTGAAAATTTAGGTGAAAATGTTGGCCATGCTTGGTGGATCTAATTTTAAAGAGTCAATAAGACAAATATTAAGAAAGTTAATAACCAATGATTTTGCCAAATCTTTCTGTTACACAGGGCACAAGGAAAACAAAACTGCTTTTAACAATACTATTCTGGCATCATTACTTATTAGTGAGCATTGTAAATTTTTTTTTATTCATATTTTTTTCAATATAAAACCCTATTACCAGTCATGGGTAGTGGTAGTATTCCACAAAACATTAAATACTTTTAGTAAAATTATTGTTATTATTAAAATTGTTAAAGAAAAATAACACCCCTGATTGTGTCAAAAGAATACAAAGTATCCAAATTTTATTTGGAGTGCATTAAATAAGTATTATTTTTACCCAAAACAGTGAATTATAAAATTCTGCAATTTTATTCTTTCAAATTTTGACAACTGTATAACTAATGTTGCTTATAAGTTGGTAGCAATTATACTTATAATTATCTCTTGTATAGGCACTTGTATATTAATATGCTTTATAGATATGATAAATTTGCAATGATAATAAAATAAACTTAAAAGGTTAACTAGTTAATACAATTATAAATTATTATGTTTGTTACAGGCTATCCATTCATCAACCAACAATGCTGATACTTCTGTCAAACAGATTGAAATAGTAGCAAGTATTTGGCTTACCAAAGCATTTGAAAGGCGCAAACAAGCAGCAGTAGAAGTTACATAAACTTGAATTTATCCAATTATTTGTGAAACTCTTCAAATTTAAAAATAAAATGTTTTGTTATTAATTTATGATATTTTATACTTTTATATATTATTAATTAGAAATAACAAGTTGATGAAATTGTTTTGATCTTATATGGATAGACCTATATATAGTATTATACATACCTATATATTTATAGATGTATGTATTTATAATATAATATATCATATTATTATGAATCACACATTTAAAATTATGAAATGAATATTCTAATAATATTATATAAAAATCTAGTAAGTTAATCTATGAATATTCAAAGAATAACTATAAAATTCTTAATAAGAATATTCTTCTAATATGAAGTAAATAATTTGCAATAATTATCCAGTGATTATTATATGAATATTTGGGTAAATGACATGAATATTCTTAAAAAATATTTATAGACGATAGAATATTCACAGAGTATCTATAGTCGGCTCATTTTGCAAGTTTTGATTACTGTGAGCAGATCTATAGATCATAATATAATAATCCATATCCATGAATAATACATATCGATATCTTCTTATAATATATTAAGAACATTTTTGTGTTACTTGGATCCCCTCCCTTTTATAATTCTAATTTATTGAAACTCATTACGTCTAATGCAACTTTTAAATAGTTATAGGAATTCAAAGCATTAAATTCTTATAAACAAAACCAGCTAAAGTGATTTCACTATTATTTGAAAAAAATAAGCAAATGAGGTAGGTATAATAAATTCACCTGATAAACCAAAAATATACAAAAATTTAAAAAAAAAAAATATTTTATTTATATTACCTATATATGAAATCATAATGTACAAGTTAATTATGAAGGCCCATCGGAGTATAATTGTTAACATATTTTAAATTACTGATGCCGTTGCACAATCTGCTCCCCCCCCCCCCAAAAAAAAAATGACGTCCCGGCTTTATCGGCATGTATATATGAATTTTTCCGAGAAGTAAAATTCTACAATCTATCTATGTCTATTTATGTATATAAAAATTAATCCCTATTTCCCTTAGTCGAAGCATCAAGCTTATTTCTTATCATTTAAAATAGATCCATCTATCTTCGATCTATGTTATAAAACAGTTAATGTATAATTTCTTACTGCTCATTTCACAGTGGAATCAATCGGAAGATTAATGAAAAATTATACAGTAAGTTTTTTGATAAGTGTTTGTTTATCAGGTTTATTTAAGCAATCACTCTTAAAATTTTAAACAAACTTAAGTCACCCGCGGGCCGCCGTGCCATACAATATGTATATATAGGTATACAATATGCATGTTTATTTTAATGAATACTAATTTTCCTCTCAACTTTCTTAATTTTTTAGTAGAACATGGTACTTTTTAAAATTTTTTGGTTGCCATTGGTTAAGCGGATAAATCAGGTTTAAGAATGCATCAAATTAAATTTTAGTGCATTGCCTAACAAGGTGGCTGTCAGCAGTGTCAGCTGAGTTACACTTATAGCCACTCATCGGTATGTACACAATCAAAATAATTAATATACAAATTATAATTATAACTATAGCATAATTGTTTAACAACAATTTGTGTATGGAATCATTAGCATTATTTGTACTCAAAAAGAATTTTTTTTTTTTTAATTATTTTTCATAATAGACCTCTAAGGTTGTAAAAGGGTAGTTTTTTATATAGCTATATATTACACGGGAATCGCCGTGACGGGACTCCTAGTATTTCTTATAAAATTGTCATTGTCTGATAATTTTTTGAAATTAACTTAATAAAATCATACTTAAAAGTGTAAATACAATATTTTAGTGATATATAGAATATTAAGTAACAACTACTCGTAGCTATTTAAATAAATTATGTAAAAACGATAACTGTACTTGTCAAGTTTTTCGTTTTGATAATTTGTTTTATAATTTTCATTTTTGGATTTTCTCACTC